ATTCGAATGAACTCAATAATTTTGACAGATTAAGTATCGTAACATTCAAATTTGGAGTCTCAAGTTGAATTTTGAATTCGTAAACCACTACCATATACTCTTGTGTTCAAAGGATTCACAATTTATATATATATAAAATAAAAAGTAAAAAATTATCATGTATATACAGTGTCATTTCTTATCGAGGGAATCGAGTGATTACCCTCGGCCCCCTCTAGATCTACCCTTCTTTATATTTATATTACAAAATTATTAAATATGTATAGATCTTTTAATTGTGAATTGAGTAATTATGAGGACAATGAGTTCAATGGTAAATTCAGAATTTATGAAGTTTAATTTCTAATTTCATCTCTAAATTGTCACATATATGGAGAAGAAAAGAAAAAGAGACAGTTTCTTGTCATATAGTTACCTACTCAATACTATGATTTTTTTTAACTAGAACATAATATAATCATTTTGGTTGTTTGATTTATTGGCTTGTTGCTTATTTACTTCCCTAATTTCTTTGTAGCTTTGCGCAATTTTTCATTTATAAATAAGGTAAGTTTATTAGTATTAACTATTAACTATAAACCAGTACCAAGGATGAGTATAGAAGTAGGAACTTTAATTAATCAAAGTCATAGTTGATTCTTTTGGTTTATTTTGCATATGAAGATACTAATTTATAGGAAATGTAAATTTAGAAGAAAGATGTTAGAAGAAGGTGAGAGTTTAGCTTTTCAATAGAAGCATCATATTATATTTACTACGTTTTAAAATCGTTACAGGCTAGATTTTTAGTAGTTGTATGTTTGATCGTATGAGAAAAAATCAACATTAAAATATTGAATGGATGGGATCTTCTCGATTGAATTTCCATCACAGGTTACCTTGGCAGCTCTCCAATGTCATAGTCGTATAAAAAGCAAAGATATATCATATGTCGTCCATTTCTTGTATTCTCATTTCCAAATTTGCTTTTTGAAATTCAAATTATGTGAAATTTGACCAACATTATAAAATATTTTTAAAGATTGCAACTTAGTATACTATTCACCTAGTTGATCAAAATGATTTTTTTATATATATAATCAAAACTGCAGTTGACAAAAGATATGTTTTACGTAAAAAGGAAAAAATAAGTGGAATTTGGAAGCTTGCTTCTGAATATCAGAGCCAGGTTTCGATCCTGGGACCTGTGGGTTATGGGCCCACCACGCTTCCGCTGCGCCACTCTGATGTTGTTGTCATTACATCTCTTTATAATCAATATATATAAATAACCATTGTGAATCTTTCAACTAGTTCCCTAGCTATTTTCCATTTGCAATTTTATTTTATTTTTATTCTTGTAATAATTACGAATGGAACTTCTAATAATCATATATAATGTAAAAGAAATATATGAAAATATAAATTACACATTCAGCTAAAAGCTCAATCAATTCATAATTCCATTCAACGATCCCCTAATCTCTTACTCTTACAACCTTTTTTGAAAAATATTCTTCTAATAACTTAAACGTATGTTCCGTTTCAACAATATGTTAGGAATGCCACCTATCAATAATTTGAGACAATTTTTTTTATAATCGATCGAGAAATTCGTTTGTGATCTGCTCTTTGGATCAATCACAACCTTCTAAATTTGGTAGAATAATGGGTCCGCTCCTCTACCTTTCTCCATTTAAATACCGGGCTTCACTTTGCATGGTATGAGGCTTGAATCTACGATCTAAGCCACAAATTCTCCACATTTTGCCCCGAGCTAGGCCTTGTGGACTAATTTGAGACATCATATGGCAACATAGTGGATAAGTAAATGTAAATCCAATTCACAGACAATCAAAGAGAAGATGATAATGAAAAAAAATAGTAATGAATTGACTATTTAAAATTGAGATCGGATTATTTTATTTTGAACTTTACACATGTTCTTATATCTAAATGAAGGCAAATTTATATGTCAAATTATAAATATTAAAACTATTTTGATAGTACGAGAATATATTTGATCCTTTTTTCAGAAAAATAAAAATAAAATATCGCTATACAAATTAGGAGGAGGCGAATATGAACTTTATACCCATGTCTTATTACACAACACAAAGGTTACATGAGAAGGCACAACAAACATGAAATCACCAAAGATAAAAACCAAATAAAAATTAAAGTACACAACCAACATATGGATTATTATTTTTACCATATACTCTCAAACAATAAACATAGCATAGGGTATTTATGTAAAACTCACATGCATATATATGAGATCCCATCAACTTATCAATTGACATGGTGATCATCAATAGCTTTGGCCACACCAATAATGAAGTCCAGCAAATTTACTAGTTCTGGGACATTTTCATTTGGCCTTTCATACTCTATTGTCCAGCTTATCAAATCAATTTCGTATTTTGTTTCGATATGAAGAGTTGACTTAAAATTATCATATATATTCACTAGATCTCCTTCAAATTCTTTGAGTGTGAGCATCTTTGTTTCATGATCTATAGCTTCAACTACTTGTTTGGAGATCTTCTTTTCCCCTTCTACCTTACAAAAATAAAAGAGTTATTCCCAAATTTCATCATGGATAAATCATAAGAGTCCTTAAGATTTAAGAAAAGAAGAAGTTGGAAATGAGTAACCAAATAGAGTTGCCATGTTGGTAGATTTGAAAAAGGTTTTAATTTTAGAAAAGTAAGTGGTTTTCTATTTATTTTCTTGTGTTCGATATGCAAGTAAAATATTTTATTTAAAAACATCTCTATATCTAAGACAAAATTATGAGGATGGGATGAGTGATGGAGGGAAGTGCAGGTGTTGGGGGTTACGTTGGGTGAGAGTGGGGGTATGTTGGATATTTGTCCTGAGTTTCTTACTGTAATTAGATTTTTCTTTTTCTAAAAGGAAAATACAAATTCTTTCTAGTCCTTTTACTTGTAGGAAAGATTTATGACTCTATAATAATTATGATATTTAATTGTTAATTGGAGCAAGTAAATATGACACTAAGATAGAGGAAAATGATTTCATAAATGGAAAGCAAAGATCGGACTAAGGTTTGAAGTTAATGTGTTTTGAGTTTGTTACTGAACCCACTACCTCGTCATAGTTATTGAATTCACACTTAAATATTCATACATATTTAATGAAATTCCTAACACAAGTACATGATCTAAGCAATAGCTACTCGGTTTGTTTGAACCGATTGCTAATATACTCTCCCTCCGTCCCTAGCGAAAAGTTCCAACCCCTTTTTGACGAAAAATATTTTTGTTAAGAAATTTTTAAATATTCAACTTACCAACTGTATACGTCCAACAAATTTTGGATCCAACGGTTCCAAAGACACCCTCAAGAAGCTCACAACCTTGTACATGCAAAGGGGATATAGTAGAGACATGGTGTGATTTATTTGTAAAGATATCATGAAACACATTCTTATTAGCTTTCATTTCTATCTTAGCAGACAACACAGACTTTAGACCCATTTTACTAAAAGATAATGGAAACAAAAAGATGTAGTGACACTATAGGAAAATTGTAGAGGAGAAGTGTTGATATCCTTTACTATATATGATTATTCAACATTATATATAAACTAGAAATGGGAAGGGGGAGATGCTTTATTCTTTTAAAATCCTTTTTTAAAGTCAAAGATATGGTATAACATCCTAATCATGTCCCTTACGACTTGTAATTTTTTTTTTACAACTACACGATTTCTCAAGAAAGTGGCATAAATTTCATTTTTCATGCACTTGTAGCAGTACTAATTTATTCCCTCCATTCCATTTTATGTGACACCCTTTGACTTGACATGGTGTTTAAGAAAAAAAGAAATTTTTTTGAAACTTATGGTCTAAAACAATTCTTGGATATTTGTGTGGTTGAGATTCATTTCATTAAGGGTAAAAATGAAATTTTAAAGTTAAATTATTTCTAATTATAGTAAAATGACATTTTTTTTAGAACGGACCAAAAAAAAAAAGAATGTCACATCAACAAAGTAATATATACTATGCAATTATGTTTCAACCACTTCTCGAGGATATTATTTTCTAAAAAGAAATGTTTATAATGAAAAATGAAGAACTAGGCATATGCATTAGCTAAAAACAAAATTTTCATATGAAATAAAGTGATGTTTCAAGTATTCATTTCCTTAAATGAATGAACATGGAAAATAGATAAAGATTTATAAAAGTTATGTAGGAAGCTAGGTCTCATCTTTAAGCGATGATGTTTCTTATCCTCTGAAAATTACAAGAGGAAAAAAAACTAGGAGATGTATTTTTCTAGTATATATCATTCAGCTTCAACACTGCTCTATGACCAAACTATAGATATGAATCTCAAATTATATATTTATATATATATCAAGAAAAGTATTGGGTAATATTTATCCCCCAGTTCGGAGTCTAAAGGGCAAAAAAATTAGCCAAAAATTCCAAAAAGACAATAAAAATAAATTGAGAATCAAAAGGGCAACATTTAAATTCCCTAAATATGAACAAGTAGACATTTAAATTTATATAAGATTAAACAAATAGACACACACATATCTTACGTGGCATAAATAACATATTAATCTTGTCTTCTATCTGTGTTAAGCTTACAAGCATCCCCAATTGTCTTCCGATTCACCGTAGTGCTTGTGATCTTTGGCTTGTAAATCTAACTTAAAAGGGTAAATTTAAATGCCAAATTACAAGAATAAAAAGCATATTTCGACTATTTATGATAATATAAGAATATATTTGATCATTTTCAGAAAAAATAAAAATAAAAATAAAATATCGCTATGTAAATTAGGAGTAATATATAAACTTGATACCCATGTCTTATTACACCACACAAAGATTACATAGTTGATAACGTATCACTCACATGGGAAAGACACAACAAACATCAAATTACCAGTGTTAAAACCAAATAAAACGTACTTACTCTCAAACATGGATTATTTTTTTACCATAATCTCAAACAACAAACAAACAGCTATTTAATTACTTATATAAACCTCACATGCATATATATGATCTCATCAATTCATCTTGACATGATGATCATCAATAGCTATGGACATACTAACAATAAAGTCCAGCAAATTTATAAGCTCAGGGACATTCTCATTTGGTCTTTCATACTCCATTGTCCAACATACCAAATCAATTTCGCCTTTTGTTTCGATATGAAGAGTTATCTTCCAACTATCATATTTATCAACTAGATCACCTTCAAATTCTTTAAGTGTGAGCACCTTGTTTTCATGATCTATAGTTTCAATTACTTGTTTGGAGATCTTCTTTTCTCCATCTGCCTTACACGAAAAAAAAAGAGTTATTCCCAAAATTATGACCATGAGAGTCCTTAACAAAAGAGAAAACAAATAGAGTTGCCATTAAGGGTAGAAAGGAAAACAAGTGATTTCTCAATTATTTTCTACTATTTGAAATATACAAGTTAAAATATTATCTCAAAAAGTATTTATTTATATATATACAAAATAAAATTATGAGGATGTGGTGGGGGTGTGGGGGTTGGGCGTGAAGGGAGGGCTTGGGGGTGGTGGGTGGTTGTGAGGCAGTGAAGGATGAGAGAATTATGCGAATTGTTTTCCTATTTTCATTATGAAAATCTTTTTCTTATTTTTAATGAGTTTGTTTTCTAAAGATGTGTTTGGTAATGTTGGAAAATATTTTCATAAAAAATGTATAATTCAATCTCTTATTTATTTTTTAGTGTTTGATAAGTATAGAGAAACATATTATTTCAAAAGCAAATATATGTAATCTACCAATAAAACACCATGGGGTGGGTAGGAGGTGAGGATTGGGGGCTAGGGTTTTTTACGGGGGAGGGGATGATCAAGGGATGGAGGTCGGGGGGCATTGAGTGTGTGGGAATATAAACAATGAACTTAAAATATCATTTATAAAACTTTCTTTTTCTCATTTTTAAGAAACTTATTTTATTTTTTTAGAATCTATAGCTAGTACTCTCCCTCTACCTATAGCTAGCAGAAAGTCATTTTCCCCTTTTTAACGAAAAATATTTTTGTTAGAAATTTTTTAAATATTTGTCTTACCAAGAGTATACGTCCAACAAATTTTGGATCCAATGCTTCCAAAGTCACCCTCAAGAAGCTCACAACCTTGTACATGCAAAGGGCACATAGTAGAGACATGGTGTGGTTTATTCGTAAAGACATCATGAAACACATCCTTATTAGCCTTCATTTCTATCTTGGCACACAACACAGACTTTAGACCCATTTTACTAAAGATTTGTCAATAAAAAGATGTAATGACACTATAGGAAAATTGTAGAGGAGAAGTGTTGTTATCCTTCACAATGATTATTCAACAATATATATAGACTAGAAAATGGGAAGGGAGAGGTGTTTTCTTTTTCAAATCATTTAAAAAAAATCAAAGATGGTATAACATCCTAATCATGTCTCATACTGCTAGTTTATTATTGAGCAACTTTCACATATAGAAAACATAAAAATTATATTTGTATGTTATAACTATAGTTTGCATAATTGCGCTCCATAGCAAATTTTATGTTTGCTATGGAGCTTTTGATTTGTATAATTCACTAGATACATCCAATTTTATAATCAATATATATAGATAACCACTGTGAATCTTTCAACTAGTTAGCTACAAGCTATTTTCCATTTGCAATTTTATTCTTGTAATAATTACGAATGGAACTTCTAATAATCATATAATGTAAAAGAAATATATGAAAACATAAATTACACATTCAGCTAAAAGCTCAATCAATTCATAATTCCATTCAACGATCCCCTAATCTCTTACTCTTACAACCTTTTTTGAAAAATATTCTTCTAATAACTTAAACGTGATGTTCCGTTTCAACAATATGTCAGGAACGCAACCTATCAATAATTTGAGACATATTTTTTGATAATCGAGAAATCCGTTTGTGACTTGCCATTTGGACCAATCACAATCTTCTAAATTCGAGAAAATGGGTCCGCTCCTCTACCCTTCTCCATTTAAATACCGGGCTTCACTTTGCATGGTATGGGGCTTGAATCTACAATCTAAGCCATAAATCCTTCACGTTTTGCCTCAAGCTAGGCCTTGTGGACTAATTTGAGACATCATGATATGGCAACATAGTGGATAAGTAAATGTAAATCCAATTCGCAGACAATCAAAGAGAAGATGATAATGAAAAAATAAATATAAATGAATTGACTATTTAAAATTGAGGTCGGATTATTTGATTTTGAACTTTACACATGTTCTTATATCTAAATGAAGGCAAATTTATATGTCAAATTATAAATATTAAAACTATTTCTGATAGTACGAGAATATATTTGATCTTTTTTTCAGAAAAATAAAAATAAAATACCGCTATACAAATTAGGAGGAGGCGAATATGAACTTCATACCCATGTCTTATTACACAACACAAAGGTTACATGAGAAGGCACAACAAACATGAAATCACCAAAGATAAAAACCAAATAAAAATTAAAGTACACAACCAACATATGGATTATTATTTTTACCATATACTCTCAAACAATACACATAGCATGGGGTATTTATGTAAAGCTCACATGCATATATATGAGATCCCATCAATATTATCAATTGACATGGTGATCATCAATAGCTTTGGTCATACCAATAATGAAGTCCAACAAATTTACTAGTTCTGGGACATTTTCATTTGGCCTTTCATACTCTATTGTCCAGCTTACCAAATTGATGTCGTATTTTGTTTCGATATGAAGAGTTGCCTTAAAATTATCATATTTATTCACCAGATCTCCTTCAAATTCTTTGAGTGTGAGCATCTTTGTTTCATGATCTATAGCTTCAATTACTTGTTTGGAGATCTTCTTTTCCCCTTCTACCTTACAAAAACAAAAGAGTTATTCCCAAATTTCATCATGTATAATCATAAGAGTACCCTTAAGATTTAAGAAAAGAAGAAGTTGGAAATGAGTAACCAAATCAAGTTGCCATGTTGGTAGAAAGGAAAAAGGTTTTATTTCTAGGAAAGTAATTAGTGGTTTCTTATTTATTTTTTTGTGTTCTATATGCAAGTAAAATATATCATTTAGAAACATCTATCTATATATCTAAGACAAAATTATGAGGATGGGATGAGGGAGGGAGGGAGGGAGGGAGGGAGGGAGCGAAGGGCAGGGGTTGGGGGTTGGGTGAGAGTGGGGTATGTTGGGTATTTGCTCTAATCAGTTTCTTACTGTAATTCAATTTTTCTATTCCTAAAGGTAAAATACAAAGTCTCCTTATTTGGCTAGTCCTTTTACTTGTAGGAAACGTTTATGACTTTATAATAATTATAATATTTAATTGTTAATTGGAGCAAGTAAATGTGATGCTATGATAGATGAAAATGATTTCATGAACGGAAAGCAAAGACCGGACTAAGATTTAAAGTTACTGTGTTTTGAGTTTGTCACCGAACCCACTACCTTGTCATAGTTATTGGATTCACATTTAAATATTCATACATATTTAATGAAATTCCTAACACAAGTACATGATCTAAGCAATAGCTATTGGATTTGTCCAAACGATTGCTAGCTAATACTCTCCCTCCGTCCCTAGCGGAAAGTTCCGACTCCTTTTTTGATGAAAAATATTTTTGTTAAGAAATTTTTAAATATTCAACTTACCAAGGGTATATGTCCAACAAATTTTGGATCCAACGGTTCCAAAGACACCCTCAAGAAGCTCACAACCTTGTACATGCAAAGGGGACATAATAGAGACATGGTGTGGTTTATTTGTAAAGACATCATGAAACACATCTTTATTGGCTTTCATTTCTATCTTAGCACACAACACAGACTTTAGACCCATTTTACTAAAAGATATGGAAATAAAAAGATGTAGTGACACTATAGGAAAATTGTAGAGGAGAAGTGTTGATATCCTTTACTATGATTATTCAACATATATATATATATATTAACTTGAAATGGGAAGGGGGAGATGTTTTATTCTTTTAAAATCCTTTTTTAAAATCAAAGATGGTAAAACATCCTAATCATGTCCCTGACGACTTGTAATTTTTTTTTACAACTACGTGATTTCTCAAGGAAAGTGACATAAATTTCATTTTTCATGCACTTGTAGTAGTACTAATTTATTCCCTCCATTCCATTTTATGTGCACCCTTTGACTTGACATGGTGTTTAAGAAAAAAGGAAAACTTCTAAAACTTATGGTCTAAAACATGAATCCTTGGATACTTGTGTGGTTAAGATTCATTTCATTTAGGGTAAAAGAAATTTTAAAGTTAAAATTGTTTCTAATTATAGTAAAATGATATTTTTTTTTAGGACGGATTAAAAAGAAAAGAGAGTTACAACAGAGTAATATATACTATGCAATTATGTTTCAACCACTTCTAGAGGATACTATTTTCTAAAAAGAAATGTTTATAATGCAAATGAAGAACTAGGCTTATGCATTAGCTAAAAATCAAATTTTCATTTGAAATAAAGTGATGTTTCAAGTATTCATTTCCTTAAATGAATGAGCATGGAAAAAAGATAAGATTTATTAAGTTATGTGGGAAGCTAGGTCTCATTTTTAAGCGATGATGTTTCTTATCCTCTGAAAATTACAAGAGGAAAAAAACTAGGAGATGTTATTTTTCTAGTATATATCATTCAGCTTCAACACTGCTCTATGACCAAACTATAGATATGAATCTCATATTATATGTATATAGCAATATTTGTCAAGAAAAGTGTTGGGTAATATTTATATCCGAGTCCGAAGTTTAAAGGGCAAAAAAAAAAGGTCAAAAATTGCAAAAGGACAACAAAAATAAGTTGAAAACCAAAAGGGCAACATTTAGATGCCCTGATTAACGCAGTGTAAATTAGGGTAAAAAGGAGCAAGAGGCAGCTCCCTATGCGCCTTACAAGGCGCGAGCTGACAGCGTCTTGTAAGATCCAGGTCTGCTGCGCCTTGTAATGCGGGTTTGCGCCTTCCCCTTAACCTAATATATAAAAAAACTTTTTTGATTAAAAACTTTTGGGATTAAATATGTATTTTTGATGTATTTATCTTTCATCTTTTAGTATGTCTTTACATGCAACATAGAAATAAATTTTGGCCTTAAATATGTGTTTATGATGTTTTGTTGGCATTGTAGAGTTTCCGTCAAGGCATTTTTGATATCTTCATCATAATCCAGCTTCTTGTTTTCTCTTTTTGTTTGTGTGTGTTTGTATCTTAACTCTTACATTCACTTGTCTTTAGTATTAGGTAGGAAAAAAATATTACTAATTGAGAATTCTAGTTTGTCATCAATAAATGTGATGCATTCACTATATTAAAGATTTTTTTATATTCAGCACTCAAACACAAGGCTTTTAGTTAAGAGAAAAACCACATCTACTGCATCACATTTATTGATAATATTCCCTAGTTGAAACTATGACATCTTAATAATGTGAGGATGCAGTGAAATGGTTTTTGATCCATGGCTCTTGCATAAATAGAAGTGGACTAGGCTCCCCTCCAGTACAATGAGTATCCAGTTTGTCCAGTGGGTCTTTAATCTACTGACATCTGTCATTTAATAATCTAAAGGTCAATAATTAGTTAATCAAATTAACCTCTTAAATCATGGTTCAACAAAAGTATTGTTAGAATTTATTTCTTTCCCATGTTGACAACATGTATATAGAAGAGAATCTTGCTCAATCACTGCTCCGTTTTCTCTATCCGACGATAAAAATTAAAATAATCTTAAATTTCACTGTGTAAATCTACAAATGTAATCAATTTCCACCCCCTAAATCCAACCTCTTTCAAATTAAATGTTCCATTTTTTTCATATTATTTAGTAACTCTCCCCAGATTTCTTCATATATATCCAACTTCTTCTTCTTCTTCTTCTTCTTCTTTGAAATATAAAAAGTAAACAAACAAAAAGGTTAAAGGGGTTCAACATTTACTAAACATACATAAAGGTTATTTTAATCATGTATAAATGGTGTAATTTTCTTCCCATGTTCATAATGATAACATTCCTGGTTTTTTTAGTTAAGCAAGAAAACAAATTATGTAGTAAATATGTTCATAATTATCATGTTCCCTGTTTTATTTCAAATAGCAAAAATGAACAACATTAATATTATTGAGCAACAAATTTGTACTGCAATTGTTGATATTAGGCAATATACATAGAAGTTTCTCTCTTGAACAAATATCATCCCTGGTAAGAAAATCTTTTTCCCAGCAAAAGAAAAATCCTGCACCAAAATTTTCGGATCTGTGTAATTAGCAGAAAATTTTCAGCCGCATTCTCAGATTCATTTACTATCTTGAGAAATTGATAGTAAGCCAAAAAGTTTTAGTAAACTTAACCATGGTTTAAGAGGTACATTATTTTTTACCTTTAGATCATTATGGGACAGATGTCAGTAGATGAAAGCTCCACTGGACAAACTGGATGCTTCTTCTACTGGGGGGGGGGGGGGAGCCGAGTCCAATAGAAGGGAAGTGGTGGATGTACATACGTATTAATTAACTATAATATATTTTATAAAATAACAAGTAAGTAGTAACAACATAGAGTGGACATGATTGTATATTGAGTCTGACCTATCTTAATTTGTCATATTATGTACTATTATGGAAAGAAAATCAATCATGGTGGTTAAATGTCGCTATTAATTATATTGGGTTAGCCCGACATTATTTTCACCATATTTCACGCATCGACTATGTACAGTTATATTGTTTTTGTTTTTCTTAATTAATTTTAAAATGCTTACAACATACCCCTTCAAAGTTTGCTTGGGCATGCATACTAACAACCACTATATGATAATTAAGAAAGAAACTATATAATTATACATAATTCATTATCATATATACTATTATTATTATTATTATTTTTAAAAATATTACGTATCTTATCACCAATTAAGAGTTTCCTATCATATATTAAGGAAGATACATGTAATTTTGCTACCAAATACATTAAAATAGGGAGAGAGACAAGCGAGATTTGTTATGTATCTTTTTTTTCCAGATACATGTGAATCACAATAAATACACACTAGATACATGTATCTGTATGTATATGGTGTGACTCACGTGTATATATATGAGATACCCGATACATAGGAAAGTGGCAAGCGATATGGGAGGGAGGCGAGCGAGATTTGTTATGTATCTCAAATACATGTGAATCTACTTGAATACAATGTATCTTAAACAAATTATATCTAATCTGACTCATGTATCACAAGATACATATATGTGAACGTATCTGGATGCACCAAAATCTGGTAAGATGCGTATAATATTACAAATTATAGTGTCTCTAAGTAATCAGCTCATAAACTTGCGGGATTTATGAAAGTTTCCCATAAATTAATTAAAAAATTATTCCGAACTTGCAAGTGTGGTTATGATCCATGGCTCTTGCTTGTTATGTATTTTTTTTCTTTCATTATAAATTCAACTCTAGGCTAATTTTATTGCTTAAAGTTGAGTCTAGGAGTATTATCTTTTGCAAGTTTTAGTTTTTTGTCGTTATGTAAGATACAAATTACATTTGAATTTTATTTATAAAATTTTCACTAAGCTCGTTATTTAATGGTATTTGTTTTAAAAATTTAGGCATATTATATAAATGTGTCTTTTAATATAGCTTCACATGACATTAATGTCCTCCATCTTTGAATATGAACAAGTAGACATTTAAATTTGTATAAGATTAAACAAATAGATACACGCTTATCTTACGTGGCATAAATAACATATTAATCATGTCTTCTAACTGTGTTAAGCTTACAAGCATCCCCAATTGTCTTCCGATTCACCGTAGTGCTTGTGATCTTTGGCTTGTAAATCTAACTTAAAAGGGTAAATTTAAATGCCAAATTACAAGAATAAAAAGCATATTTCGACTATTTATGATAATACAAGAATATATTTGATCATTTTCAGAAAAATAAAAATAAAAATAAAAAATCGCTATGTAAATTAGGAGTAATATATAAACTTGATACCCATGTCTTATTACACCACACAAAGATTACATAGTTGATAACGTATCACTCACATGGGAAAGACACAACAAACATCAAATTACCCAAGATAAAACCAAATAAAACGTACTTACTCTCAAACATGGATTATTTTTTACCATAATCTCAAACAACAAACAAACAACTCTTTAATTACTTATATAAACCTCACATGCATATATATGATCTCATCAATTCATCTTGACATGATGATCATCAATAGCTATGGACATACTAACAATAAAGTCCAGCAAATTTATAAGCTCAGGGACATTCTCATTTGGTCTTTCATACTCCATTGTCCAACATACCAAATCAATTTGGCCTTTTGTTTCGATATGAAGAGTTATCTTCCAATTATCATATTTATCAACTAAATCACCTTCAAATTCTTTAAGTGTGAGCACCTTATTTTCATGATCTATAGTTTCAATTACTTGCTTGGAGATCTTCTTTTCTCCATCTGCCTTACACGAAAAAAAAAGAGTTATTCCCAAAATTATGACCATGAGAGTCCTTAACAAAAGAGAAAACAAATAGAGTTGCCATTAAGGGTAGAAAGGAAAACAAGTGATTTCTCAATTATTTTCTACTATTTGAAATATACAAGTTAAAATATTATCTCAAAAAGTATTTATTTATATATATACAAAATAAAATTATGAGGATGGGGTGGGGGTGTGGGGGTTGGGCGTGAAGGGAAGGCTTGGGGGTGATGGGTGGTTGTGAGGCAGTGAAGGAGAGAATTATGCGAATTGTTTTCCTATTTTCATTATGAAAATCTTTTTTCTTATTTTTAATGAGTTTGTTTTCTAAAGATGTGTTTGGTAATGTTGGAAAATATTTTCATAAAAAATGTATAATTCAATCTCTTATTTATTTTTTAGTGTTTGATAAGTATAGAGAAACATATTATTTCAAAAGCAAATATATGTAATCTACCAATAAAACACCATGGGGTGGGTAGGAGGTGAGGATTGGGGGCTAGGGTTTTTTACGGGGGAGGGGATGATCAAGGGATGGAGGTCGGGGGGCATTGAGTGTGTGGGAATATAAACAATGAACTTAAAATATCATTTATAAAACTTTCTTTTTCTCATTTTTAAGAAACTTATTTTATTTTTTTAGAATCTATAGCTAGTACTCTCCCTCTACCTATAGCTAGCAGAAAGTCATTTTCCCCTTTTTAACGAAAAATATTTTTGTTAGAAATTTTTTAAATATTTGTCTTACCAAGAGTATACGTCCAACAAATTTTGGATCCAATGCTTCCAAAGTCACCCTCAAGAAGCTCACAACCTTGTACATGCAAAGGGCACATAGTAGAGACATGGTGTGGTTTATTCGTAAAGACATCATGAAACACATCCTTATTAGCCTTCATTTCTATTTTGGCACACAACACAGACTTTAGACCCATTTTACTAAAGATTTGTCAATAAAAAGATGTAATGACACTATAGGAAAATTAATTGTAGAGGAGAAGTGTTGATATCCTTCACAATGATTATTCAACAATATATATAGACTAGAAAGTGGAAGGGAGAGGTGTTTTCTTTTTCAAATCATTTAAAAAAAAATCAAAGATGGTATAACATCCTAATCATGTCTCATACTGCTAGTTTATTATTGAGCAACCTTCACATATAGAAAACATAAAAATCATATTTGTATGTTATAACTATAGTTTACATAATTGCGCTCCATAGCAAATTTTATGTTTGTTATAGAGCTTTTGATTTGTATAATTCACTAGATACATCCAATTTTATACAAATTGTTCATTTTTGTATAAATTCATTTATACATTATAATTTGTATAATTATAAGTGTATAGGACGAAAATATATGTATCTGTATTTGTATATACACTTTTCTCTCGCTTTATACAAACACAAACGCATTTTATACTGAAATGTATAAAATAGCTAATTGTATACCGAAAATGGCTAATTGTATACCGAATCAGATGACAAAAAAATGAGATGTTTGCTACGAATTATAAATAAAATAAACTATGGCTATAACATTTAATTTGAATTAATAGTTTTCTATTTCATACAATTTTCCCTTTCTTATTTACTATATATATATATTTGTCAAGAAAAGTGACATGAATTTCATTTTTCATGCAGTTGTAGCGGTAATACTTGTGCAATAATGTTTCAAGGGAAACTTACCAAAATATGCGTATTAAGAAAATATTTACCATTTATAGTAATAATATTTTTTCTCACTTGAATACTTATAATACATTTATAAATAAGTTTTAATACATATTGCAGATAGAACAATTTATAAAATATATATAGTACATATGAATGGATAATACATTTATATTGCATGTGTAATTCACCTAATTTAATACAGAATGTAGATGTATCATAGTATTGCTATTATTTGCCACAAATGATAAACTACATAATTATACATATTTCACTACCATATATACTAATATTATCTATACTTTCAGAAATTTTTACGTCTCTCACCATTAATTAAGAGTTTCATATCATATATTGAGGAAAATATACTTAGATGCATGTATTCTTGACACCAGATACACAAAAATAGGGAGATCGCGAGTAAAATTCGTATGTATCCAATATACATGTGGATCATACTAGATACATATATCTTATGCATCTAGTGTGATTCGTACATGTATCTGGGATATCAGATACATGTCATTGGACCGGACCGCTGCCCAACAAAATTTATATGATAACCTCCATAAAATGATAGTAGCAAATGCTAGTGGGGTGGTTTTGAAAATTGTCATGACAATAGGTTGAATATGTGAATTTAACAACGATTTTTTATAGTGACTGGATCACCTTTCACTTAAACAATCTAGTGTTGATTCAATGATCGATGTTTTATGGATGAAGATGATGACAATTTCTCCTCCTCTTTCTTTATCGTAGGAGCTTATATATATTAAATTAAGAGTATTCCTATATATATTGAAATAGGATGGTTAGTCAATAATTTTCAATTCCGCATTTCATGTTTAAAATTTCTTGTAACTATTCTCCTATCTAGTTATTAGAGTAGGTGTGCGCTTACACGATCCGATGGGTAAGATCGTGACAATATGTTTCAACCACTTCTAGAATTGGCACGTCAGGATATATACTATTCTAAAATGATATGTTTATAATACAAAATGAAGATCTAGGGTTAAACAAAATTGGAAGTGATTGAAAGATGCTATTCTATTTTAAACAAGATTGAAAGTAATGTTTCACGTATTCATTGCCTTGATTAAAGTTATGTGGGACTCATTATTTTTCAAGACAAAAGAAGGTTTTTTTTTTCTAAGTGGTGATATTTTTCTTTTATCGACTGAAAAATTACAAGAGGAAAAAAAATATGGAACATGTATTTTTCTCTCTTGCTCTCTACATTTCTTATTGTTACTGAGGTTTTATTTTATAAGGTGTTATCAATTGAAGACTCACCAATTTAAGATGTGCTTACAATTTTATTGTAGCCACATTTTATAACTATTTAAGTCCAATAAAATTTCTCCTACTCACTTTTAAATTACAACTTCATATTTTTTTGTTATTTTTTTCATTGATGACTCCTGTGGGGGTTGTGAAAATTAATCTTACTACTTATATATAAGGCAATAATTGAAGTAGCTTCCGATAATAAAAGCATTTTGGGTAGTAGGGACATTTTGGCACATGCATGTCATTGTTGTCCACAAATTATTAATTAAAATATAAAACCATATGTATACACTGCCCCTCATTCTATTGAAGTAGCTTCCGATAATAAAACCATATGTATACACTGCCCCTCATTCTATTGTTTGTGTAGGTAAAAAAGTTACAGCAATTCTCGATAGTAAGGGCATTTTGAGAAATTTAACGATTATTTTAGTTAAAATATTATTTTTGAAAGTTTTTTAGCTGTGTCAGAGCTTTTGGCTTCACAAACATTTTGTTTTTGAAAATAAAAACAAATAGAGATCATTTATTATTATAATAATAATAATAATAATATATATATATAATTCTTCTTAACTTGAAACTTTTAAGAATTCTACATAGGTGTAGGTCGTGAATTTTTCACCTTTGTGTTGTGTAATAAAACAACGGAAGTGGTATACTTAAAATATCAAAATTTAAACAAAAAGTATATTTTGACTGTTTTTGATAGTGTAATAATAATATATTTGATCTTTTGCGAAAAATAAAATGTTACTAAGTTAGGAGAAGGCGAAGAGAAATATATATGAACTTCATACCCATGTCTTATTACACAACACAAAGGTTACATGAGAAAGACACAATAAAACATGAAATCACCAAAGATAAAACCCAAATAAAAAGTACACAACCAACATGAGTTATTTTTTTCTATACTCTCAAACATCAAATAAAACAATTATATATATAAAATCCCATCAATTCATCTTGACATGGTGATCATCAACAACTTTGGTCATACCAATAATAAAGTCCAACAAATTTATAAGTTCAGGGACATTCTCATTTGGCCTTTCATACTCCATTGTCCAACTTACCAAATCAATTTCACCTTTTGTTTCGATATGAAGAGTTGCCTTCCAATTATCATATTTATTCACTAGATCACCTTCAAATTCTTTGAATGTGATCACTTTTTTTTCCTCATCTATAGTTTCAATTACCTGCTTCGAAATCTTCTCTTTTCCTTCTGCAGTACCAAAAAAAAAAAAAAAAAAAGGAGTTATTCCCAAATTTCTTATTGGATAACCATAAAAGTCCTTAACAAAAGAACAAGTTGGAAAAGATGGGATTTTCTTCATACCAAACACATCAAATTGTTCCATCGCAATCTAGCTTGAATATAACAAATCAATAATAAATGTATTTTAATCATTAGAAGCATCATCTTTCCTTGGATATTCCAAAAGAAATACCTTATAATACATCATATACTGATCCCTTTGTGGGTTAAATAATTTCTAATTTAATTTCTATTTTTACTTGTCAGTTTTGATAAATTTTTAAAGATTCAGCTTACCAAGGGTATACGTCCAACAAATTTTGGATCCAACCGTTCCAAAGACACCCTCAAGAAGCTCACAACCTTGTACATGAAAAGGGCACATAATAGAGACATGATGTGGTTTATTTGTAAAGACATCATAAAACACATCCTTATTAGCCTTCATTTCTATCTTAGCACACAATACAGACTTTAGACCCATTTTACTAAAGACTTGAAAATAAAAAAAGATGTATGACACTAAAGGAAAATTGTAGAGAAGAAGTGTTGATATCATTTACAATGATTATTCAACAATATATATAAACTAGAAGGGTTTCTTTTAATCCTTTTTTAAAATCAAAGATGGTATAACATCCTAATCATCATGTCCCTTACGACTTGTATTTTATTTTCCCATTATAGCAATATTTGTCAAGGAAAGTGACATGACTTTCATTTTCATGCACTTGTAGCAGTAATACGCAAATATGTAATTTCCACCACTTCTAGCAGTGGCATGCCAGAATATTATTCTTAAAAAGAAATATTTATGATGCAAAATGAAGATCCAGGTTCATGCATTTGCTAAAAGTGTAATGACCCTAAAGGTCATTTTTGGAAATTTTCATAAAATGACCGTTTTACCCCTCCCGATAGTTGCCCCGAGTCCTAATTAATGTACTTTCGAAGTTGGTTTGAAGGAAAATTGATGAAAAGTTGAGTTTTTGGAAAGTTGAGTTTTTAAGAGTTAAAGTTTGGTTAAAAGTGCTATTTCGAGTCATTTGGAGTTTCGAGACTCGAATCGGATTTCCGTCGATTCCAGCAGT